CAAAATCGGTTCAGCGAGAACTGAGATTAAGCGTTCACAGATACAAAAAAAAATAATAAAAAAAAAAACATCACAGTAAAAAAATACCTTCTCAACTTAGCATCGAAGCTAATAAATAAATATATTAATTCTAAACAAATAAAAATGACAATTTATTATTTAGTATAAAAATATTAAGATGTATTAAAATAATTTTTTTTATTTATTTATTTTAAAATATGAAAACGTACATTTATAATTTGAACAATTAACCAATGTAATTTTGAATTATAGACCGTGTATCTCTTTTATTTATTTTGTATTCATATTTTAGAAGTGCGAAACCATTACTTTTTGCGTATCTTTATAGATAAAAACGTTTATAAACTTTAGATTGTTTGGTTATCAAATACAAAACATTAACTAATAAATGTAAAAATTTTGTAGTAATTTTAGATTTTTTTTTTTTGTTAGTTGTAAAATCATCTACAATAGTATCGAAATTTTAGCATAAAGTTTCATAATGTTAATGCATTAAGTTGAAATTTGATTTATGTGTAGTATAAGGTACCTAATTTGTGTAAGTAATTCAACATTTACTAAACTTGTTTTTTTATAAAATGCCAGAAGTAATTATTAATTAATTATGAAAAAAATCTTATTTGCATCTTGCCAAGAACTGAATAGCAATTTATGCAATATGAGTTTTGATTTATTAGTCAAAGTACTTTGAAAATATTAAATAGAAACTAACTGTATAACAAACTAACAGTATAATTAAGTTAAATGATTGATAAAATACAAGGACAACGAAACTAAAGTTTTTCAATTTTCTAATTCAGAAGAGTTTGAATAAATATAATAATCGAGCATCCAACTTAAAAATATTTTACGGTAATTACGATTGTTGAAAATGTTATATCAACAACTTATATTTTATAATTGAAAAACTTATTAAAATTTATCAAACATTGGTTAATATTTGCGTACAAATCACTATAAAATCATTTAATCCGCACAATATTATTGTTATTATATCGAAGAAATTAGACTTTCTGTTAAAGTTAGTGTAATTTAACGATGTATCTAGTAGATCATTTTTGTTTCTTCCTATCATTTTTCTGTTATTATTTTGCTACATTACTAGACTTACTTTTTATCACTAAGTTAAATCATTAATATTTATCTAATTTTATCACAAATCAAGATGTATTCAAATTCTTAATAATCACGTGCTATACTATAGTGCGCCTAAGTCTAAAATCTATACTCTTTCAAATAAAATTATATACCTACAGCATTTAAATCATTTATTAAAATTATATAAGTGACACATTTCATTTGACATAATTATTTTAAAATAGTATAAAAATCTGAAACTAAAATATTATGCAAGTATTTACAAATTTACAGGGTTGGCTACAATTTCCATTTTTAGTACTTTATAAATAGTTTAAGATCAACAAGCATTTCAATTAGTAAATATTTATTATACGTGTAGTATCACACAAATAAGATTATAGATTACTATTATTAATATTATACTGTTCATTAAATAGTAAAGTGATTTGAAACCCTCAAGAAATTAATTTTATAATTCAATTAATTTCTATTACTGTTTCTTTGTAAATCGTATCAATTTTATATTTAAGTTTTTTGCTGTAATTTGCTCATTAAGATAGATACAAAGTAAAAATAGGTACTTAGAATGTTAGAAAATTAACTGATAGAAGTAGAGAATTAGTAGAAAATTAATTGAAGAGGATATTTGTTGTGTACAGGAAACTAAGTGGAAAGAAAAGAAAGCGAGGGAAATAGGTGAAGGTTATGAAATAATATACTCAGGTAATTTTAGTACAAAGAATGGTGTAGGGATAATAATGTATGAGGAGATGAAAAGTAAAGTAGTAGAAGTAACTAGGAAAAGTGGCAGAATTAAAATCGTAAAATTGATATTCGAGGAAAAAATGCTGAATGTTATAAGTGTATAGGCACCAAAAGTAGAATATGATGAAATAGACAAGAAAGTGTTTTGTAGAGATATGGATGAGGTGAAGCAAGGGGTACCTAGAAATGAGGATGCAATGATAGGTGAAAATATGAATGAACATGTAGGTAATGAGAGGAGAGAATATGAAAGAGTACATGAAGGGTAAGGTTTTAGTGGGAATGAGGCTGGAAAAAGAATCCTGGATTTCGTAATATCGTATGATCTAGCTGTGGTTGATACTTATTTTAGAAAGAGGGAAGAACATTATATATCTTATAAGAGTGGGAGGAATAAATCATAGATCGATTATTTTATATGGAAAGGAGAGAGCGTAAAGTGAGTAAAAGATTGTTAAGTTATACCAGGCGAGAGTGTAACTACACAACATAGACTAATGGTAATGGAGTTGAGGTGTACCGGAAAGAGAATATACAAAAATTAAAGGAACACAGGGGAAAAATCGAAAATCCGGTGGTGGAAATTGAAAGGGGAAAAAGAGTTTGTAAAGATGGTAAAAGAGAAGACGGTGTGGAATGTTGAGGAAGACATAAATGACGTGTGGAATAGATTAATTAGTTGTGTAAAAAATACTACAAAGGAGATTGTTGGCGATAGTAGGAGTATAATGACAGGAAAAAAGGAAACCTGGTGATGGAATGAGGACGTTCAAAAAATCATAGAAAGTAAGAAAAAGCAATTTAAAGTATGGCAAAAGAGCAAAAGGAGAGCAGAGTGGATGGTGTATAAACGCTTGTGCAAAGAAGCCAAATGTGCAGTAAGTAAGGCGAAGTTTAAGAGGTGTAGATGAAGTATGAGAGAAAAGGTCTAAAGATTATCATTATATAAGATATATAAAAAGTGATGATGTGAATGTAAGATATGTATGATGGCACTTATACCAGGGTAAATAGCATACGAATTTGACAAAGGAGAACATGAGGTAAGAGAGGTGGAAAGTTTTAAGTATTTAACGTCAATTATGCAAAAGAGCGGTGGTATTTACAAGGATGTAAGACACAGTATTAAGTGCATGTGGTTGAAGTGAAGAAAAGCGTCTGGCGTCTTATGTGATAAAAGAATTTCAATGAGGCTGAAAGGTAAATTATACAAGACAAGAGCTATGATATATGGTTCAGAGTGTAGGGCGGTTGATAAGAAAGTAAAGCAGAGAATAAGTGAAGCAGAGATGAGAATGCTTAGATGGATGATTGGAGTGACTAGAGAAGATAGAATAAAGAACGAGCATATAAGAGGGAGTATAGGTGTAGTGTCCATCGTGAATAAGACGAGAGAAAATAGACTTAAATGGTGTGGTCATGTTATGAGGAAAAAAAATCGGAAGCTGTAAGAACAGTTATAGAAATGTTGAAGGTATAAGAGGTAGAGGAAGACCAAAAAAGATGGAGGGATGCTATTGAATACGATATGAGGGCAGCTGATGTAAGCGTAGAAGATGTGGGACATTATGTCAAGTGGAAGTTTAGGATAAGGGTGGCCGACCCCAAGTAGTTGTGATTAAGGCGAGAAAGAAGAAGAAGAAGCTATAATTTGCTCATTAATCAAATTTCATGACTCCAATTAGCAATGGAATTTTTATTTTGTTGCCTAAGATGCTAAATACTTAGGTTTAAGATATATTGATAATTTAGTTGTGTTACTTTAACACATTCTGGGCTTCGTGAGGGTGTACAAATTATAAATAAATTGCGATTAATAATAACTATAAACTAAATAACAATCGTCAGTGAAACTGATATGAGAATGCTAAAGTAAAGCATAATAGGTCAATTTTCCATTGACTCAATATATCTTCTGGAATACATTTTCTACATAACAAAAGATGCCTTAAGATATTCAACAACAACTACAATTTTAATAAAAGCCTATGAATAATACTTAATGTGCATTTCCATATAAGTTGCACAAGAACGGAGTACTAATATTTTCTTCTAACAATTGATTGTTGATAAGTATGTATCAAAGGTACGTTCCTTTTAATTCACTTCTGCAGATTATACTTCTACAACTATTTAATGAGATAGTCAATTTTACATATGGAATAAATATTAAAGTTAGAGAATTAAAATACAGATGATAATAACATGTGTCAAGCAATAGAATAATGTTTAATATATTTATGAGTTTCTTGTTAACATATTATAAAATACAGGGTTAATAATGCTCTCATTAATTATTAATATAAAGTAATTCGAAGCTGAACCATCGTACAAATTTCTTTAAATTTAATACTAAAATGTTTTTAGGATTGCATAATATAAAAGTGAAACACTTTAAAACATGTATAAACACATTAAGTTTTAAGCACATTAAAATTGCAATTTATTTAATGAGGCTGATCTTACTAAGCAATTATAATGTAATAACTAAAGAATGCAAAAATTATATCCTCGTATAAGTAATATTTATAAAAACTTTTAAGAGGACTGAGATATTAAGTTAAAATAACAGTGTTTCATTTGAATAAAACTTTTTATGCTGAACTGTTTGTATAAAATTCAGTGCAGATTCAGATGTTTTTAATTGTATGGAATGAAATATTTTAAGGATGAGTACTGTATTAATTATAAACAATAAGAAGTAAATTTTTCTTTACCCCAACTACTTTCGGTCGGCCACCCTTATTCCACACATCTTCTTGACACGATCTTCCACATCATCGGCGTAAATCAGTCGTTCTCATATCGCATTTAAAAACATCTTTTCATCTCTTTTTCAGTCTTCTTCTACCTCTTTTTCCTTCAACAATAATATCCACAACTGTTTGTATAGCTTCCAGTTCCTCTCTCCTCATAACATGACCAAACTATCTAAGTCTATTTTCTCTCATCTTATTCAAGATAAACACTACACCTATACTCCCTCTTATATTTTTAATATTGCATTTACAATATTATCTTACATTTAATAAATACAACAAATATTACAGCGAGTAAATTTTAAATAATATTATTAATTTGTTGAATATGTTTAAAATTTTAAGTAGGTATTTAATAGAAATATATTAACTTACCTCAAAAGGTATGGCAAACAGTGCTAGGATAATATCAGCAATCGCTAGGTTAGCCAAATAATAGTTAGTGACTGATCTCATTCGTCTACTTGTAGTAATAGCCCAAATTACCAGTCCATTTCCAGCTATGGCTACCACCGATATTGATCCGTATAGTATGATCAGTAAAATTATCAGTAAGGGTGGCACCTGATAAAGGTCATCATTCAATTCATTGTAAGTGCCATTTTCGGTGAGATTAACAGTAAAGTTAGAGGTCATTACGGTGGTTGTTGTAGGCGGTGGTGGCTGCGGTGTTTACAAAAGATGCACGACACCATTAGCCTATGAAAACCAACTTTTGGCCACTGTGACCTTTGTTCCATAGTTTTTTTATCGGCATGGCTAGTTTCGCACACTTAGCGATGATTTTCGTACATTTTAAAAAAACCTTTTTCACTATTTAAACTAAGGCCGTAACAATAACTCCAACAGGTATGATTCAATAGCAATACTGAATTACTTTGGTATTTTAAAAAGCGGTAATATGCATTATCAATTGAACTCTTCGATTAGATATTGATGAGCACTTGAATATTATTAAACCTTCTTACTAGTTTGTAACATTTAGTACTACACGGTGACAATAAACATAATTTATCATATTCGAAGACCATTAGATAACGACTTTATAACAGCAAAAACTAAACAAAAATAATTAATCTATTAATTTATCTATTAATTTACCTGTTATATTTTATAATTTATAAACAATGTATTTATGTATAATATTTCCAAAGTCTATTGTTATTTGTCCATTCATTTATGTCTCAGTAGTACCTTACTAAAATTGATTAGGTTTGATGTAATAAGTAATAATTATGGAGATATATAATTGTATTTCACTATTAAAAAATACATAGTAAGTTACAGAAAAATATTTAACACAAGAGAACAAAAAATCTTTATTGAATGGAAAAGTTTAAGAAATTGAACAATAGAATTTAATTTTTGTCTAATAAAATGCGTTACAAAAATGTACTTTTTATTTTCCAAAAAACTCTCAGGAAAAGTAATTTTTTTTTTTTTAAGATTTGAATTCTCTTTGGTATACGCCAATTATAACAATTATTAAAAGTTAATCGCCTTTTCTGCTTACACGTTAATAACTAAATAATGAACTGAATTTTTATACTACACTTTAACGAAAGTCTGTTATTTCTCCATATTCAAAATTTTAATTATGTTTCCAATGATCAATGTCTTACGATTTGAAGTTAATTTATGCTGTAGTTCAATTTATTCTATATTGGCGCTTTAAAATTTTGAATTATATTCATGTGTTTTATCATTTCAATATTATACTCTCAAAGATAGAATATAATATATCTACAATAAACCTACTCTAGGGTATAGCACTTGGCGTGTGCCGTCAGTTATAACTACATTAGGATATTATTAAAACATGTTTATTATATTATTAAAAGTACCTGAAAGTTAAATGTTTATCATTTAAAATATGCATATAAATTACTTCAGGCAAGCCCAATAAATATAGAAGTATTAAATGTTTTATTACTATTTAATTAAACATAGATTAATTTATAAATTGTCTGAAAACAATAAACAAACTCAAACAACAATTATAATGTTTCATTACTCACAAAAGTATTTACTGTGACCCACTTTCTATATTTTGGATGGGTTTAATTTCAACACATCAAGTAATAATAAAATTAAGTTATGATTACACAACACCATATTTTGCTACCCTTAAACTTTCAGATGAAAATTTGAATCAATGGATATTACTTTGCATTAAATAATTGATAGTTTTGTAAATAATAAAATATTTCACTTATTACAAAACTATCAATTACATAATTTTAACGTATGTTGGTTAAATACATTTATTTAATTGTTGTAAAATATTTTCCAATTATTACCCATCTAGATTTTATAAGACTATATTTAGACAAAATTATATGACACTAGGATTTTAATTACATCCACAGTGTTCTATCACTTACTGGATAATTAAAAACGGAAAATTACAGCACAATTTCTGCCATTGAAAAAAATATGTTTGATGCACTATGTTTTCAGATTTAATTATTGGTAAAAAATGCGAAATATTCAGGCAAAGTATTTTAACTTTATATACAGACTAAACCAACCGTTTTAACTAAAAATGTGATCAACATTTATAGGTATAATTATTAAATTATATTTTTTAATGTAATTTAAAATAATAACATAGTTATGATTTACTGTTTTATTATTTTTTAATTTACAAAATACAGTGTCCATAAATTAACATGATAGAAATTTATATAATATTCATTATAGTGTTTAAACTATAATTTTTTTGTTATAAAAAAATATTTATTTTATTAATATATATTAAATCAGTAATGTCATAATTAACTGAATAGAAGATGTTTTCAATAGCTTATACTGTATTTTTAAGTAATAATATTTTTTCATTCAACAAATTATTATATTCTACAAAAAAGTACATTGTATGTAACAGCTATTAAACAAAAAGACACGTATTGAATTCTGAAAATAAATAATGTCCATCAAGTGACACTGTCAATAATTCTAATAAGACAATAAATATATAAAAAAAATAAACCTTAACAAGAAATAAAAATTGAAATATTTCCTACGCGGTAACATTTTGGAGGTACCTAACAGTAAAAGTATAAAAATTAGGATTGGTTAAAAACCCTTTTTTGTTGTTAAAAAAATCTGATTAAAACATAAGTAAACAGTTTAAAATGTTTAAAACGTTCCATGAGACCAATGTATGTTTTGAAACTTGTAGTGCTTTAAATATGTAACAACTCTGTTAAAAATAGGAAAAAACATACAATCTAACGAATAAGTTAGATAAATATTTAGTAAAAAATACTTGCATTTTCTTTATGTCTCTAACCATAAAAAAATTGATAAAATAGTGTTTTTGCCACAAACAATCAAATTTCAATAATATCAATAGTTTCTAAACAATAAAACAATTCAAGATTGATGTTGTTAAGTTTAGAGAAAAAAAAATACAGTTTTTAAGATGTCAACATTTTGAATCGTAAAAATATTTATTTTTAATATTTTGACATCATGTCATTATAAAAATGGTGTAAGATAAAATTTCTTTTCATACTTTATTTGATGTTCAACAATAATAATTTTTGATACTTATTCAAATGTTAATAGTATTATTTGATTTTTTCTGAAAACATGCATTATTAATTTAATATACAAATAACGTAATTTATATGTTTTGCTAGTTTATTTTTAGTACAACATAATGTTTGAAAAATGATGAAGAAGTATTTCGCTTTGTGTTATAAGAAGATGAAACAATTTATAATGTTTAAAAACTCATTCCTAACTATTAAAGATACAAAACAACTTTGATAAAACTGTATTACTTCAAAAGATAATTATTATGATTTGCTATTACAAACAACTAAGTGTGCAAAAGAAGTCACAATTATTAACGTAAAATAATTAGCATAGCAGTTCCAAATAAATTTAGTTAAGAAAATATTTTCCCTTAAAGATTAAGTAACAAACTATAGTAAGTTATAATCCATAATTTAAGTAGATATTTAGTTTTGCTACCAATAGTTCAAGATTATTCTATAAAATAAAATATTACGCTCTTTTAGTTTATCGAGTGTTATAGTATTTTTAAATAAATATTTATCAATTTCTTATTGGTATTTTAATTTTAAAAATAAACTATAGTTAAGTATTTTTATTTATTTTTGCCAATTTTAGATTCATGTGCTATATAAAATATAAGTTCATTTCGATGTAAGTTCTTTTAGGCAATATTGCCATAATTTTTGAAATTCACAAAGATATTTACAGTCGTATGCTAGTCATAGTTTTAATAATATTGAATAACATAAGGTAAACTAGGGCAAATAGATAAAAAATACACAAAACATGCAATATTATGCGTTACTAATCGTTAAGATAATATAATAATTTTTTATGTGCCTGTACTTGACTACAACACATGTTGCTAAACGATATTTAATTACTTAATTATCCAAATCTATGTTGTTATTTTATTCATTGTTTACATTGGAAATTAGATCCTTTATTATACTAGTATCATTATTAATTAATTAGTAATGATATGTTGGTTACAATATTCTAGCAAATATAATATATTAGAACATTATTATATGATCTATTTATTATTCATACATTGTGATTTTTTTTAAGCCGTTATTTAAATTTTTATTTATAAAAATTAACATTTTGGATATATTATTTTACAATATTTTCACCTTCTTCACAAGAATTAAAATATCAAGTTTTATGTTTAATACTTTTTATAATTTGCCAATGAATTTTTTTATTATTATTCTTTTTAATTGATCTTTATTTTAATAATGTAATACTGAAACACAACGAATAAAAAATCAGATGACTTGGTTGTAAAATAAACAGCTTCGTCGTATACTTACATGAACACTAATTAAAGCAATTAATAATATTCGATGATTATTGTAATTCATTTTTATACACTAATCAATTATTTTGAGTATTTCCCCTGACTAATTCAACCGTTACAAAAACAACTGTTAAACTACTACGTAACCGAACGAAATTTTCACTCGAAGGGATTGCCGCACGCTTTTTCGGGTACACTGAATGCGCGCAAATGTCATACAGTAACGCTTAACGCTAGTCAGGAAGCGATTGCGCCAGACTTGCCACGGGAGCGATAAAATATACCGTATATCCCTTTGAACGGATCTAGATATTTTTTATTTGTTTAATTTCCTCCCCTAATAGTTTGTGCTAGGAATGATTTTTTAAAAATCAGAAAAACATTGGCTATAGTGTGTCTAGTCCGTTTCGGTATTTCCTGGAGAGTTGCTGGTATCGGAAATAAAAGGTTTTGCATAAACTCAATCTGGGCAGTCACGATTTGCTCAGTCAAGGTCCGGGGTCTTTTTTTGTTTAAACGAGACACTTATTTAACAATTGAACATTATATCCTATGACGTCCTCTAAAAATAAACCATCCAAGCAATCTGAAAAACCCCAAAGACTTATGACAATAAAGTACACGTCTATGTTAAATGAAGACTACACTATGAGATTGACGTTTGCACGACCCGATTGATGTACAAGGCCAGTTTTTAAGAAAACTTACAGTCTAATCTCCTAATACAAGAATATAAATACCCTCGTGATCATTTATTTTTTGTATTAGTGCAAATTTAGCTGGTTTAAGTACACTAGACTTATCTCTACGTGAAGTTTTCCAGGAAATTACTAATTATGATTGCCATATCAAGTGCTTCAGTAAGTTACCATAAATTTTCAGTCTAAATAATTATTTTTTACTGCAACAAAATTTAAATGAAATTACAGTAATATTAGATAAAATAGTTTATGAATTGTATTTATTCACTAAATATCTCCCAAAATAATAATTATTTATTTAATAACTATGTTTATTTTTCGATTTAACTTGTATGAAGTATTTTTTAGGTCCATATCTTATCCCTTACACGGGTATTAACTTTATTTTATTAAATGCCATTAAACATATTTTACAAGTTTAAATTTTAGAAAATGACTGGTCGATAACAAATTTTAAACCAATATTTCGGAAATTATTAACGTTTTAAAATATTAAGTGCAAGTGATATGCGGGTTATGTTTTTTTATCAATACGCATCACTATAACGCAATCTCCAAAATAGGTATAGAAATATCCATTGATATTCTTAGTTGAATCATTTTCTAACATTTTAGCAAATAAAATATTAATGTTTCCATTAAAAAACAAAATTGGTACCCTTATAAGGGATAACCTAAGTATATTTAACTTTAATATATTTATTTTAACACTTACAAATCTAAAAAAATACTACTAAACTAGCAAAAAAACAAAATTATTATTATTCTAGAGGAAACTTTGTGGTTAACGATAAATCAATCACTGTATGTTTATGCAATTTGAACACGAATCTAATGGAATATATATATTTTTTAAATAACTTATCATAATGACTCTCTTTTTAACTATTAATTATTAACAAATAAACAAATATCATAAAAATATTTAACATGCTATTCAATTTATGTTTTTACTTGATGTTTTATTGAAGCATAGCCAAATAAATTGTTAAATTTACGTATTTATTAGTTTGTCTGTAGAATAAATATTTAATTATAACACTTAAACAACTAATTTTTAATAGTTATTCAACCTATAAAATGATACTTGTTGAAAGGAAGAAGTTAAAAATAATATTTAACTACTGTTTAAACAAAAGCATTATAAAAATGTAATTCGGTAAAAGTAAAATTGAAAACTAACATAAAATAAGACGGTAATTACGATGTAACGCCAAAGTCAATGCAAATGACCGTCGCGCGAGAGTAAAAAAAAAAAAATCGCATAGCAGCCTATTATTTGTAAAACTACACAAACATAAAGTATAAATATTTTGCTTAACAGTTAAATGAATGATTACACTAATTTCAGCAGTACATAAAATTATAAGTCCTTTTTTATTATGTAAGAATCAAAGTCACATGTACATAACTCGTAATACAATTCAGTTATTCTTATAGGTATTTTGTTTATTGGTTTCCCATGTCTTAACTTTTCCTAGTCCTGGCGGACAAGGCCAATGGCCAAATCCTCAAATGGGAATGATGGGAAATGGTCAAAACCAAAGATTTGGTAATCAGGACTTTAGTACTAGTCAAATGCAAAGGGGTCAACGAGGATTTGATAATTATGGTGGCGGTAATAACTTTGGACAAAATGGTTTCCCACAAAATCGAGGTGGACAATGGCAAGGACAAGGAGCTGAGGCCTATAAGGTTAATGTCTACAATGAACCCGATCGATATGGGTATGATTACACTATTCCTGGAGCCAACGTACATTTTATGATGCATAAAAAACGTAAGTCACTTATATTAATTATAAAAGCTTATTTAAAATGATAAAAACAGTTGTATTTTGAATTACATGAATTACCATTAGCCAAATAAATATATAAAGAATGTTAAGAAAATTATCAAAAACTTAAGCAAACAGTAATTCAAGTAAATATTTGGACGTGTCTAAAAAAAATAATTTGCCTCTAAACATCGTCATATATATACCTTTAACTATGGTCAACATCATTACAAAATATTAGTGATTATACCACACTTAAAGGCTTATATAACGATGGCAAATAATATTCTCTAGATGACGTTCGAATATTTACTTGACTCACTGTAGATTCATATCCAATATGTTTTTAGTTACTTTATCTGAATAAAACAGTATAAAATATGTCTCATGGCACCATTTGAAAAACTAAACTCAAGTAAATGGGAAATTTATAAGAAATTCTCATTTTAAAAATGTTTTAATAAATGATGCTATTAATAGTCACTAAAAAACCTAGAGTGCAATGACGTAACATTTACAATTTGAAATTTGCTTACTTATCCCAACGAACAACGATAATAAATAAAGTTTTTGACACATTCTTTCGCTTATATGAAACTAAAAGTGACATGCCTTCGCGTGTAAGTTTGAAAGAATTTACAATTTCCAGGATAATGGTTTTTATCAAATCATCGATTATTTTTTAATACAACAGTCATTTTTTTTAAATCCATTGTATCACAACATTTACTTATATTATTGTTTTGTAATTCCACTTGAATCTTTTTACTACGTTTTGTACGATATTATCTAAATCATAGAAAATGGTTCTTGACACATTTATTTTATAATATCTACCTATAAAAATATTAAATAGTGTATCAAATAAAATGTTCTAAAAATATGTTTAACGAATAAATATATATTTTTGTCGTAACTCAAAAAAAAAAATGGTATACATAAATAATATTACTAATACTAAAACAGGGGTCAGAATGATTATTATTGTTGGTGCAAAAAAATGTGTAAGTGAGAGTTACTTTTGATTCGGGGTGTAATTCGAGGGTCATAAAATAACGATGTAAAAAATCTTACCTGGTAAATTCTCTGGTTTTTATAATTATCCTTAGTGATGATATCGGTGAGAATAATAAATAAAGTACACAAGTTCAGATTTTCAGTTCACAAATTAACATATAAAATTTCGACAATGACGATCACGACGTTCGCACAACTTAATACGGACCACTAAAAGAATAGCCCAATACGGAGCATGAAATGAACAGCCCGGAGCAAGGGTTTGCTCTGGCTTTTTATAATATTTTTTTACCCCCAAAAATCGTCACTGTCGAATTTTTAGTATGATTGTTTATTGATAAGTAAGCATGAAAAACACAGAGATCAATACAGATGAAATAGAACATAAATTAGTTTGACATTTACATATATAACATTAACATGTTTTTTTACAAGCGAGACGAAAATTGATACAATGCATTTAACTATTTATAGTAGAATAACAAAGATGACAAAAATAATATATAGATTTTATTTTGGTGAGGAAGAATTTTTAAAGTAATTATTAATTGATTTATGATCGAACCGCATACACTACAATGTAGTTAAACAGTGTGAGTCTTTTGACTATTTCTCTTAAATGTCTATCTAAGTTTTTGTTCGAAAAGGATCATGTCCTTGTAAGAATATAATGTATAATAAAACAAGTTAAAATGTACCACTTCTATCCATAGAAGTGGTGACTATTTGAAATGAAAAAATATATACTAATAAAAACTAAAAAAGATAACATTGTTAAGTACATGAACAGGGTATTTTTAGTGTTGTCTCGTATAAATAATAATGACGATTATATTACGACATTTTTCTGGCCAAACTGGTTGGGTAAGTTAGGAAGAAATTTCGAATTTAACCAGTTCAATATTACCTATCTAGATCTAAGGCTTTAATAATTACAGAGTTTTTTTAACGTTGTTTCAAATATTTATAGTACAAAAATAAACTTAATTACAACAAATTATTCGATCATAAAAAAATTAATTATTATACAATGAAATTTCCTATTATACCAAAACTTACTTACTCTTGAAATAACTGATTTGGTTTTAATTGATAGTTAAATTGTATTTGTATTGAAAAACAAATTAACAAATGATATCAATGTTAATTAATACTAATTTATTTATTATAGAAGGAAACCGAGGATCCGGGAACTATGGTGGAAATCAAGGTAGAATGTATTAAAAATATTAAATTTTCATAAAATAAAACATATTAATACAAATAAGTTTACCACGAATCAAATATTAATATTTAATACGAATTTCATTTTTATTACATTTATCACAGTTTTTATAATATTATTAATCTTTATACCTTTGTATTTTTTCTAATCAAATATCATATTGAAATGTATAAAGAAGTAAAATAAATACATGTAATTGTTTTGAATTATTTTTATGAATCTAAAATAAGTGTACTAACATTTTACAATACAGTTATTATTAAAAATTTTTTAGTAAATAATGTTCTTAGAAAACAATATATCCTTATATGACCTCCCAAACTTTTATTTCAAATGGTATGATTTTTTTTTTAAGGATATTCAACCTTCAACAATATAATATTTTATAATAATTTCTCTGTATGTTAATAAAAATTTATAATATCTTTTAATAATTATTTGTATTATTTATGAAAACGTCATTATCACTTGTTTATCATAAAACAAATTATGTTTAATCTATAAAAATATTATATAAAATTGCTTCAAAATTGATTTTTGTTACAATAATTAATTCTTAGAAACAATTAAAAAATATTTATTAGACTAGTTAAATTAAAAAACAGCAGTCATAAAAGTGAATAGTTTATTTATCCTTGATGATCAATAGTTAAAAACAATGATTTTTTGCAAGATTCATTCAAGTGAAAAACAAATACTTCCGTTTATTAAATAAAAACAAGTAATTAATTGTTACAGAGTCTATTCAATTTATAAATACACCCACCCTAATGTTGAGGTAGATGTATAAAATGATTTTAATAAAACATATTGGGTAGAACAATTTATTATAATTATTTATTTTAAATAAATAAAAGGTTAAATGGTGTTATAAGTTTAATTATTATATTATAATATGAATGGTTTCAATATTATACAATAAAACTTAATTTTTTACAAACATTTTTAATTCTTTACGAAACTTAAAATTAACTTTTTTACTAATTGAATTTTTCAAAGAAACTAGGGTTATTTTTTCTCATGAATTTACTAAAGACTTTATCTGAAACAATAATCATATAAATAATTAGAAGTTTACAGTATTTTTTTTCGTTGCTCGTGTAATATCTCTTATCGCGATTTAATTTACTATTTAGTCAAACTAATAAAAAGATAATAAAAATTACAAAAAATACATTGAACAAAAACACTTTATCTTTTATAAAAACCTAAAGATCCAATATTAGATGATCCTAAATTTCTGTATCCGTACCTTCCTCCATAGTTTAAAATATGTCCATCTAAATTTCTGTAAAGCCTAGAATGTCCATATTTTGGTATTCTGTATAGATGTCCATATTTTCCAACGTATCCAAGACCGTATTCAATTCCAGGAAAATCTAAGTCCAAATCCAAATCTAAATCTGTGTCTATATAGAAATCCAAATCAGTGTCTAAATCATGATCCAGCTCAATATCTAACAGTACATCAGGAATGAAGAGAGGACTACTATACGAATGAAAATGAGGAGCATATTCTGAAAAGTACAATGGTGATCCATGGTCCGTACCATAGCTATAGCTGTAACTATAACCAGGACCATGTGATGTTTTTTTGCTATAACTGTATGATCGGCCACCTTCGTCTAAAAAAATAAAAATTATTTTATTGCCATGTAATTTTAATGTCCACGTTGTGCAAGTTATGTCAACTATAATAAGGATTTAACTTTCGCTACTCTAAATATTTGTAGCTACCTGATTTTAGACATTACATTTGTACAAAATAATTCAACGAATAATTAAAATTATTATAATTCAGTATGTAATGCGTACAATGAACCCACAGGTCTGAATTTTTGGGCAGCTATTGTCCAACTATTTAATAACTAAAATCACATTCCTATAGCTACAAACGCTTTCTATGAAAATAATTAATATAATTTTAAAAAAGACAAATTTATTTTGTTTTAATTTACTGTGAATATTGTTTCTTTACATAACAATAAAATTTGTTAACTTTATCGAAAAATCGTAAAAATAGTTTAATATTTTATAATCGTCGAATTAGAAATTGAAAATAAAAATCTACTCACGTGAAGACGTTTTACTATAACCCGATACTGAATTATGACTTGACTCGTGGCTTGTAGAATGTTCAAAAGCAAATAAGCCGCTGAAACTCAAAAGGATTACAACTGTGACTTGTCGTAACATCTTGCCGTTGAATCACTCAGTAAATCTCAGGTAAATGGTATTTATTTAAAGTAATAACAGGAAGAGCCTAGGATTTAAGGTCGATGAAAACAACCCCAAGGACCATGTACTATTTGCAATTCCAATGTCATTTAAAACGGTTGATTGGTCAATCGATTGACCATCTGTGTCTATCCAAGTGCAAATGTCAAAACAAAAACAATTTAATTTTCTAGGGAATATTCTATTAAATATAATGGTCTTTAAAATTTTGCTTACAACTTCAATTTTAAAATGTAAATGTATGTTATCATAATTCTTTCAATACTCTAGATAGTACAATTTAAATACGCTCATGAATTAGATGTGTGCGAATATATCTAATGTGTTTATAATATTCATTAAATTCAAAAGGATCAAGGAATATATTCCACTAAAACATCAAAAGTTTAAATAAAATTTGATTTAAGGCACTTAAAATAATGTAAATTACATACATTTTATTGTTACACATAAAAAGTAAAATCCAGAAGTAAATAAGAGTAAACTTCATTCAAAGCTTTTCTGTATTGTGATTTATAAAACTAAAATTTAATATTTCTACTATAAAAAGTTATAATATTAGATTTATACATAAATATCAAGTGAGATTTTAATATGTAGTAATTAAATTACTTAATTATTAATAACTTAAACGTAAACTTTAAAATCACTTAAATAGTATTTAGTCATTTAGATGAAGTATTTAAAAAAAATAATATCTTCTTTAGTAAAATAACGATAAAATGTGGAAGTCATCCAAAAAGTGAAAAAAAAAATTATTTAATTTCAGTATGATTAAAAAATAAAAATAAAATGTTCCTATTTAATTTCTGGGTATTAAATTAAGTGTAAATCCGAGATTAAAAATAAAACTAAAAGGCGTTATTTTATTAGTATAATTATTTGAATGATATATTAATATATATTTTTAAGAAAACTTTTTGTAAAATCCTTTATATATGTGTTACTGTTTATTTATTCAAGTGTCGAATGAAAGTATTTTGATTAATTTGACTAATTATATGTAATTTGTTTACAAATAAAATTATTAGTAAAGAAATATTATTGGTAGGCATTCATTTGATTAATTTGTAACTTCTATTATAAAATGAGCAAATCGCACATATAATAGACTAATTTTTTTTTACTGTTAGATTGTCTAACCACATAAACTTTTTTTAAGTACAACCAAATTATACCACAAAATATCTTAATGAGGTTGAGGTCATTAACATGGTAAACCATACATTACTTTTATTATGTTCAAAAATGGAGTATCTATTACAAAACTCAATTGTAATATACAATAAAATGTATAGTAATAACACATCATTTCATGTTGTCTAACTTTATGTTTTAAATAACAGCAAAACTAAACAAAAAAATTCACTATATAATACAAATAAGTAGGTATCTTTACATAATATTGATTTTATTGTATAAATGAATGAATACACCTTTTTTTAACAAAACTAATCGATTCGGTCCAACTAACACGAGTGAATAGTAAAAAATACGTCTAGACAATATAATATAATAAGAAAATAATAGAAAATATAATATATTATGCATTAAATAAATGTTAAAAAATAATTAAAATTTTTACGTAAAAACCTTTGTAAGTAATACACTTCAAATAAGAATTGCACTTAAATGTATATTCAACAAGCAATATAAGAAATGATCTTATTAGAAAAATATATTTTAGAATTTCATCAAATATAAGATGTTATTAAAAATATTCTATGTTAAAAAAATATAAGTCTTTGGACACATTTGTATTGTACTTTATTAGTTATTGAGAGATTTACAAAACATTTAATTTTATTTGTTTGATCATTCAACTTTAAACAAGATGTACCTGGTGAAAATTGAAACAACATAATTTATTGTTTTATTGTAAACGTTCATTCTAACTTAACAATATTTAAGTTTAAGCAGTAAAATATCTACTATTCTGTAATATTACTCTATTTGAAACGTTAAGATCAAAGTTAAATTTTAAACTCTGAATTACATGCTTTTAAACGTTGAATTATTTCCATTGATACCTCCTACTTATCTGTTTTCCATTAGAGATTGTCACTTTTGCAGGTAATCCGCTGTGGTTCTTTCGTTAATATCCATCATTGACCATGACCCTAAATTATTTGTGCTATACTTACATAGTTGTTGACTTAGGCTCGGCCATTTTCACATCCATTAAATGAGTTTTAAACTTCCTTAAGTAGATTACTATTTCGTTCCGATTACTAAAAAGTTACATAAGTTAATGTTGATTTTTTTTTTTTTTTTGATTTGTAGTCTTCACGAAAAAAAAACATGTCATAATAGTGAACGATAAATGTGACATAATATTGAGAAATTCGCGTGTCAGTACAAACCAAAACTTTACACAGCTAGTAAGATACGCTCCATTTCATTTATTGGTAGGGAATTTGTGTTTAATGTATCATGTAAATTGGATTTTCTATCAATTTACAGTTTATCAACAAGACTTATATTAATAACATCATGTTTGTTAGAATTGTAGTCAATTGGACGTCATGAATCACTTTATTAGCGATGGATACTATAGAATTAGTGAGTTAATATTATGATATGTATTTATATAAATATCTATAATTAAAAAGAAATAATTTAATGTATGATAATAAATATAAATTAAACTAAATAGTTTTTATGCGTACATTTTAAAATAGTATTTAATTTAAGTTGAGTTTTCATTTAATTATACAATTAATGTTATAACAAATATATGTTTGTATGTACTACACCATTTATTCAATTGCCATGAAACTTTGACAAGTTGTTGATTACACATCAGTGAAGGTTCCTGATATAGTACATTAATTCTACGATAGGTGACAGATAGTAATAAAGCGCAACGGGTGACACTAATAAAATAAATAATAATAAAATTAAAATTTACTCATTACTAATCGTTAGCGTTAGTTATTATTAATTTATTTATAAAATAAATCTATTCTTATACGCTGATGTCGAAAATTAAATTTATTTTGATTCGTATAAATGTAATAGATGAATAATAATATTGCTTTAGATTAAAATAAATAAGTTCATTATTTATAAGTTTTTTTGCAATTGAAATTTAAAAGTCAGAATTATTCTTACTATCTCTCTTTATTTTCTATTGTATTTTTTATAACATAAGAACTTTTTTTTTACAGTTGATTCTACTTTGGTTAGTGATTTTAACTCACTGTCGGACCATTTCTACTAATCAACCAAATTTTAAAGACTATTCGCCAAATGAACTTTCTTTAACGCCAGTAAACAAAGGTGATATTCTTTCACGAAGTTACGGGTTCAGTGACAACTCTAATATTGCAGTTGATTACCAAACTCAGATTTCTCAGACACATATGCCAATTACTTCAACAAATTTAGCACCACAACAATTTGGTGATTCAGAACACAACGAAAATAGATATGATTTGGAATCCATAGATGGCTATGAAAATTCACACAAGCCTGAAGTATCTGAAAAACCCAAAAAAGATTATGAAAAAATCAAAAAAATCAAGGAAGTATCAATACAGACAGATATTTCATTGGTCCCAAAAGAAAATAACCAAAACATAAATCCTTTATTTCAGCAACAAGGTCAATATCCTATATTTATGAGGCCTATGAGAGATGTGAGTATATTAGTGAGGAATCCAAATCGACCAATAATTATTGCACGCCAAATTCCAGTTCAATGGATACCACATAACCGCTTTTACCCAAGAAAACTGCCACCAATGTTGCCAAAGCATAAACCATGTAAGCCATGTGAACCTAAAGTCCATAAAAAACATCATCATACACCAAAAAAACCTAAAAAAAAGTCAAAAGGACATTGTCATCATCATAAACCGAAAAAGCCACATCACAAAAAGCTTATTTACTATTCCCCGATGCAGCAAGGAGCAAGAGATTTTAGAGAAAGAAGCCCTAGTAGAATAATTGTACCTAACACTTACGACGTAGAAGAAAATATTGAAAATGATGAGAACATCGATGATGATAAACCATTTAAAGAAGAAATAGAAGATGATATAGATCATAGATTAGATGAAATAGGAGAGCCTTATGACGAAGAAGAAACTTCCGAAAGTAAAAAAAAACATTTAAGACATTACAAAACTAAAACATAATTCGAATTAAATTAATTTAGTTTAAATATATAGACAAATTATAAGATATTTTTTTTTCAAAATTAGTACCTTAGTTAGATAAGCATTAAGGTTTAGACATATTTTAGTAAAATTTAATCTCGTGTAATGTTCAACTTTATATAATTTGTACAAAAAGTATAGAATTTACTATAGCATACAAAATTTCGTGTTCAATATTTTAGAATAATTAGTAATAAAAAAATTTTAATTTAAAAAAAAACAAAAATTATTTTTGAAAGATTGTTTTTTTCACTGCAATTAATTAATCTAAAACTTGTTTAAAAAAAATGTATAACACATATTAATCAAACCTATCATTAAACAACGAATTAGCATATTTTGCTAGAGAAACTCTGAAGAGATTTTTGAGCAATTCTATGCAACTATGATAAAAATAAGTTGAATTTAAATTAAGTTAAACTCATTAGTTTGGCAAAGAAATTTAATTTTTCTTTTGTTCATTTAATGACAAATAAACATATATATTTTTCGTTATTTACCTCTTTTTTAATAAAAATATAAATACAATTTTTTTTTTAATTATTATCATAATTGAATTTACAAATCTTAATTTTTCGAAATTATTCAAAAGAAAGAAAAGAATACACTGTTCTTGTTATAACTAATAATATAAATGGATGTTTAAGACTACATCAACTCAAGAAATAATGAAGATAATTTATTCTGAAAATTCTTATAATTGTAAATAAGTATTTCTGAAAAACTTGTTTTTTAAACTAAGTTACAACATCAATATTTTTTTATTATAAATGACAGTTTAAGTCAAGATAAATAAGTTAAATTATCACCACGATAAATTATAGAATGATATTATATTATTAATAAATTACAAACATTGCAAAAGCTAATTTCCTGAAAATAATTTATTTATTTTTAGTTTATGATAAAAGTATATGAATGGGATAAGGGTAGTAGTCCATTTCTGTAAAATTTTTAGAAGAGCAAAAATGAAGTTATTAATTTCTCTCCTTTTAGTGATAAACAAAAATAGACATTTAAATATCAGAAATATAAAAATATTTTTCGTCGAATAAATTCCATTACTTGATAATATAGCTAATGGACTGTTAAATCAAACTATAATATCAAAATCCAAAAATGTACTCCTACCGTTTTTCCCTGTACCATTTATATGAAAAAAACGTTTTTCCAAAAAAAGTGCAAATTAATATTTTTATTCAGACTACTTGAACAGAAAAGACACTATTACTCATTATTTTTTCAAATTTAATTCTAAGATGTAAAAACCATAATTTCGGATGTATAAAAAAAACTTTTATGTGTTTAGCACATTTTCTCAACTACATAAATATTCTTGAGTTTATTATGTAAAATGTATGTTTTATATTTTATTAATAATACATAAAGTTTACTTTTTGTAAACATGATATTGAGTAGAAAACGTTTGTATAATATATAGGTAGCAATATTATTCAAACGCTATACTTTTATACAATAGTATAAAATGCGCACTTTTACATACATATATTAATATTTTGATATATATTTTTTAATTAGTACTTATACTTATATTTATAAAGTTTAGTAAGGTATAAAGTTCGTTGCCAATGTTAAAAAATTGTATCACTGGTAACATTTTAGTTATCCAACTTGAAGGACTTCCTCGACCAACAATAATAACTATTACTATAATATAATAAATATTTTACAATAAATAAAATTTGTAATAAACTTTAAACTAAATATAATTAATAGTTATTAATAGAAATTTGAAATATTTTCCCATCGTTTTAATCATTCATATGCAATGGAAGTTTGATATAGCGATATGAACTGATTACAGTGCGTTGTTTAAAATTAATTTAGGAAGGCAATTAGGCTCGGTAGTGGTTTGAGGGTACATAGAGCCATGGTAAAATGGAATCGGTGGTGGTGGACGAATCGGTCTAGTACCTGGACTTGATATAACTTGCTGCGATTTTTGTTCTTGTTGGTTATAGTATGGGTCATAAAAACTCTGAAGGGATTGTGGGTCATTCAAATTTGGTAAATAATATTGATCAAAAGAATAATCGATATTTCCGATTGGTACTTGCTGGTAATTTGAAGGATACATAACTGTATTTTCTTGATTCTGTTGATAATACGGAGTGTTAAATAAGTGGTATGCATGTTTATTTACATTTTGATAATTATCATTGTTGTATCCATAGTATTTAATACCTGTAAATAAAACCGAAGTATGTTAGAACAATAATTAGAGAATAAAATCATTTTTAAAAAAATAAACAGAATTAACTTTTTTATCAAAAATTACATTATAATAGCATGATTAATACATTTAAACAATTATTAAATGAATAAATGTGTACTCATAATTATTAAAAAATATTAAATTGAAGAAGTATATAACTCTTTATAGTTTTTATATGACATATTGTCAAAAAGAATGAAAACATTGAAAAAAAAAATGTAAAAGTAATGTAAAATAAAATAATTTTTTTATACTATTTAGTGGTAAATTACTTTTTCGTCAGAGTTTTATTTCGAAATTAATATACATACATTAAAAAAAAATTACTGACTAAAATTTTAACATTTCATTCACAGTAGTATCACAGAATTTAACATAAGCAATTTAAAAAAAGAAAACTTTTTTTGTGTTATTTATTATTGCCGATATTTTTAAGCAAATAAAATGTGTTGATTAAATAGACTTTATCACAAACCCAACAAAATATAATAAGTTACATAAAATTCTATGACGTCCTAATAACCAAGTAAAATCTTGATTTAAAGGTACTATTTGGTATATAACATATTATAATATATTAATTCGGTCTACTTTATTTTAAGTAACTTAAGTACTATATTTCATTTAGAAAAAATAGTTTTAATTCGCATGGTAGACGAAACATTTTACGAGTTAATCTTATTTAGAAAAATTATACTTAACAAACCATTAGTTATGAAGATATAATTACTTTCTATGTAATGCCAAATGCGATATTACCTGACGACTTCTTTAACGTACCATAATTTAGCCTAATCTAATTAATATATTTAATGACTTTTTTATTTGCCGAGGCTATTGAATAAATTATGAAATAGCTTATATTAAATAAATATAATTTTCGTTTTAATTATTCATAAATATAAAGATTAATCAATAAATTCTTACTTGGCTCTAAGTGTGTGTCTAAACTAGGCGAGTTTTCTTTTTTATTGATAATTTCATCGTCACCATTAGCCACTGCTGACAAAATTAATAAAACAACCTATAACAGCAAAATAAATAAAATTTGTTTCATACGCCGATATAAATTTTAGCTATCTTACATAAGCTGCGATGTTCATATTAAATTAGTATTTGTCAGTGTACTTTAGAACAAATCAAAATGTTATAATCCAAAGTTATTCCTTAATTCCTTTTTATACTCTGTAGAGACCACAGTAGGGAACCTAGCCAACGCGTAAATTTTAATTAAAAAATAATAACATTAAATTAGTTTTTATTTGCATGGTACATTTCCTATGATTACGGCCATCATTTTCAAGGCTCTGAAGATCTTCAGGTTTGCCCACTAGACAGCAGGGCGCTTTTATCCGACTCTCAAATACTACTATACATTAGTAGTGTTTAAGCTTATATAATGTGACACAAATATATTATGAAAAAAAAAATACTAATAAATTCCACCTAAAATATAAATAATAATATAATAGGGAGTTGACTGATTTTTTCATAGGAACATGTCTTATTAAATTGTTCTTAACTTTATTAATAAGTTTACCTTCTGTAGTTCTACACGCTTTTGTAATATTACATATGGGAATTTTTATTTATGCATACTCTGATAACAGTATACACCATAATTTTTTTAACATCAGCCATTCAATTTCTCTTGAAATAATAATTTCATTGTGATTGTTTTTGGATTGTGTTAGTTACATGTGTATATCCATTTATCTGTTAAAAAATATTTTTTTATGTTCATCCCTTTTTCCTTTTAGAATGTCAACTTAATTTTTTTAAATAGCATTAATAACAATAGTTATTTTCTTGATTACATTATTTTTTATTTTATGAGCTACTTTAATATATGTAACTATTTGAAAAATAAAGTTAACGCTCCTATAAGACATAAAGAATGAACATAAAAATATTTTATAACTGATAAATGAAGATAAATATGTAACTAACAAAAGTCAAAAAAATAAATTCACAATAAAATCATTATATTAAGAGAAATTAAATTGGTAGCGTTACAAAAATCATTCTATATGTATTATATTTTTATCCGAAGTATATTTTTCTCTCATATTAAATTAGGGTAATTTTGGAAAAAATAATTTTTATCTGGTTAATATGTACAGTATTTATCTTTTATTAAAATATAAAACTATAATATTAGGTTTATTTAATTTTTTTTTTTTTAATTGTACTAAAACAGTATCATTCATTACGATCGCACAAATTTCTTTTCAAGCCAAATTAAATTACAAATTATCATAATAAAGATACTCATATTATTGCGGTTTTATTTTCCGTCCGATTTTTTTATAACTTGATTGTATTAGTGTACCGATGTCATTGTGAACTCAAATTTTGTTTTCAAATAGATTTTTCGAACTTCCTAATGTGCTTTTATTCAGAAAATAATTACCTTTTTAGGACGAATGCTCTTTTATTATGAATGGTCCAAGATATAAAATTAATATTATTTTTATATTAATGAACGTCACACATGTGGTTTTATTCACATAGAGAATAGCACAAAAGAATTGAAAAATGTTCCATCAAATTATTAAATCATTAGATGATCAAAATAATAATATAACGATTATATAATAACGAGAAATATTTTTATTTATATAGAAATATTAAATCATTAATAAGTTATTATTTGTTCACAAACATATTTTTTATTTGAGGTATAATTTTAAAGTATAAATTTTGTTTATTACAATACAATTTTAAAAACGTCATCGGCCAATCAGCTTTGTAATCAAATAAAATTGAATACTTAATAAAAAAAAAATTGTTTAGTGATTCTATAATTTAATCATAATCGCTTAAAAAATATATTGAAGAAAAAATTTTTCTTTTTTCACGTATACTGCTTGGAAATTACAAAACGTAAGAAAATTTTATTTTATAATTGCACTTAATGTAATTAAGTTTGAAGATGAATAAATTTATTTATGCCTACATCGTCAGTTTATTTTATTTTTTTTTTGTTCAACGTTTACTTAACGAGTATATTATAACGTTAATTAAGTTTAACGTTGTTCAATCGGTTTCGTTAATCGTTTTAACGTGACTATATATTTACGTTAAACATTAAAGGGGTTTAAAACATAATTCATTGCTACAATTACTTTAAAAAGGCTACTTTTTTCCCATACGAAATTTTTTTTGAGATACTATATATGAAAAGAATTTATATTTGTTTTAACAAGGATTGTTTTACGCCATAACTAGTAATTTATATTTTACTTCTATTGATATCACGTATTTAAGATTTATTGTTTTACATTTTTTTCAATTAAATTTTGACAAAAATTTTCGTTTTAATCGTTATTATTACAACGTTTTCCAACCTATATTTTATGCATAATAATATAATATTATATACATAAATTTATTGTGTATTGGATAATCCTTTGTTGAACATATGCAAAATTATATATGGCCACAGTCAAGTATAAAAAAATAGTTTAATTTACATATTTTTATTTATTAAGTAATAAAATTAATCATTGAAAATTACGTTAATCACATACAACACTTTAGAAAAATGTTAACTAAAAGTAAAAATTAGATTATAGTTTATTTTGTTAGTGAAACAAAATTACAAAAGTATTCAGTAAAAAATTGGATAGTAGGTTGTGAAACACAAATATCTTATATATAATTAAAACAGTTTATTTTATTTTTAAAACTACTCTTATTTGTCTACAAAAACGGCGCTGTTAGATTTTTCGTTAACTCACCAAAATTATTGACAAAAAGTAGAATTTAGTAAATATCAACCACGCAAGTCAATAGTCGAGTGATGTTTAATATGAATTCCCACGCTATTATGTAACCTATTAGTTCTCATTTTACTGGCCGCTAAACTATTGCCGAATAATATTTGATTTCGTTTCACCTACATGTGTTATTTGTTTGGATACCGTAGCCTTTTTGAGTAGTTTCTGTAATAAAAGCTCCCAATTAACTACCGCATGATTATTTAGGTTTGCGCCGTCACGCACGGGGAGATTTCAATTAATCACACATATTCTACTCCCATAGATGTATAGCGATAGTAAATTACATTGTATACATGAAGATGAAATATTTCAAGATACACTTTTGACGAAAATAAATTTGCATAATTGATATAATTTCCTTTCGAAGTTTCATATATATTCAGGAGTGACAATAATTATCATCAACCTAAACCATGCGATTTTCTACGTGTAACATTACTATAATAGATTTAATTGTTCGTTGAGGAGATGACAGTTATCAGCGACGCAGAAACAAAGTCATTTCGGGCGTTAATCATGCAACACAATTCACATGTACAATATTACATGGTGAATTTTATATGCTACTATTTTACAGTTGTTGTTTCTCAAAACTATCACGCACATATAACTTATAATAATTTAACTTTATGTTTTAACTATTGTTCAATAAAATGACAACCTATATGTGATCAAATGAATCCGGAGTATTACATGGTTTTAGATTTCGATAATGCATGATAAAAGACACCGTCAGGCTTTTAACTAAGTTTGCTAAGAGCATAATAAATATTGTATAAATTACGTATGTGCGAAACATAACAATGTGTCAATTCAATTAAACAATTATGTATTGGTTCGTCATTTATTCGTTGATGTATTAATTATTTATGCGACGACATTCAGCCGCCTCCTTAGCGCTGATATTAAATTGTGCTGATTGCTGTTACTAGTCACCGATTGCTTTATTGTCAATTACTGGTTTCCTCAACCTAATGAGGTTGTGTCAGGTCGACAGCTGTTGTATAAATTCTGTTAAATCATTGAAAGGTAGAGCCAACCCCAAATAGTTGGGATAGAGGCTAAGGAGATGATGATGATATATTATTATCTACTTTAGTATCATTTATTTAACTTAAAATGTTTGAATTGAACGAATTTTTAAAAGCTTTATAATGGAAGTTATATACTATACAACCTTAAAATTCTATGCATTACATCATATAAGAATTATTTTTAAATTGTCGATGTTATGTCTTTTATATTTCCTTGCTTGATAAATTAAATAGCCTAATATTGTGTCCCATTTTATAGTCATCTGTATTTTAATCAAATGTTTTATTCTAAAAATACTTCAATATAGAAAAAACATTTTACTCGTCTTGTAATATACATTTTCATAATATTGGTAATTAATGATTAAAGTCAATCGTTTTCTTAGATAAATTATTATACTTAATATTTTCCCGTTTAAAATGCAGTATTTTTAAACAAAAAAATCAATAGTTTTTTATATAAGTTATTTTGTAGATACACTTGGTAACTATGAAAAAAACTCTGATAAATAAAAGTATTTAGGTGCAATGCACATTTTTGATACTACCTTATACTGAACCGCCTTGTGCATATACTAAAAATTTAAAGTTTGCTCTTTTGTTAACTATGCTTCTTAAAGTTGTATATCAATGGAATTTATAATCCAAATCTCAATATTGAATTTGCATCTATTGCAAATCTCATACTGTAAAATAAAAATTGTATCGTTTAAAAATTGCATTTTTCATTATTTTATTGAATTTAAAATCTAATATTATCATATAAAATTAACTTTTTAAAACCCGTCACAATTTTTTTTAAATTAAAAAAATCTCTTAACAATAAATATATTCAATATTGCTTTACGTTAAATTTGAAATTTAATCGGCTTACATATTCAAATCACTACTACTGGTATAACTTATTTTAGCAAATCTATAATACGTAACTTGAAAATGCGTATGACTTATGCTCCTTTCCAACACATGTAATACTATTGCTAGATCTAAACCTCACAAAAATATATTTTTAAGTCACGTACACCTTGTACACTATGTTATGTGGTTATCTTGCGTGACATTTTCGCGGTTCATTTCTCAACCGATCTCTGTTATGAAATTATAATATAAAATTTAACGGTTCAAAATGACTATATAGTTAAAATAACATCAGTATAATATATCATAGGATTATTCCTTCTAAGTATTTTGTTTTATTTAAATTTTTATTATTATAAATATTTTTGTTATTTAAAAACATTGTTAAATTAATTAATCATTTTTATTCATATAAAATTTAAATAACTAACCATCAAACTATGATTTGATTTATAATTGGAAAAACTAGTATATTAAATAGATATAATTGAAAGTATAATTTTAAGATATTGTATATAGAACTGAACATTTCAGGTTTAA